GAGGGTGTATGTGTGCATGCGTGCACGTGAGAGTGCGTGAGCACGAGGGTGTATGTGTGTGCATGCATGCACAGAGCACGAGGGTGTGCAGTGTGCACGTATGTGTGAGTGTGTGCAGTGTGCACATAGCAAAAGGGTGTGTACCCTAAAAAATGTCTCCTGCCCAGCTAGTGACCTTTGGTCTGCACAATAACTGCACACTTAGTGTCTCAGTGCACCCGCATGTCTGTGGCTCCGTCTATCCAGCAGCATCCGTGTGCCTGCGGAGCACTCACCTTCGCTGTGCTGGGAGCCGGCGCTACCCCCTCCGCCCCCATAGCTGAAGGCTGGGTCATGCAGGGGGTGAGGGTTGTAGGGATGGGGGACGGGGTACTGGTAAGGGAAGGCCAGGGGCCACGGGGCTGCCCCGGGATGGGGCAGGGGGGCCAGGGTGTCCTGGTCCGACGCCCCACTGGAACCATCGTGGTCGTGGAGAGAGAGATTGGCCATGTCTGTGAAAGAGGAAGGGGCGGGGGGGAGACGGAGAAGACAGCGAGAGGGAGAGGAGGGCGTTACTCACTGGCTCACTGAAAACCAACAGAATTAAGAGTGGCCTCTTCGAGAGGAGTGCAGGCACAAGTAGGGAGAGGGAAGACGAGGACAGAGAGAGGGAGGGGGAGACTCACTGCCACACAGATCCCCGAAGATGTAGTAGCACTGCTCGGAGAAGGTGATCTTGTTGACGGTGTGCCGGATGTAGCCGGCCTTCAGCAGGTTGCTGGCGTATTTCCTCGCCTCCCGTCGGTCTGTGAAACCCTCCACATGGTGATAGAGCCAGTCTACCACATCGGAGCCTGGAAAGAGAGACGGGACGAATGACTTAGGGGGTATCTAACCTAGGGGGTCTTCTTTGTTTATCTCAGCACCAGGACTCAAGAGAAATACTTCCTCGGACGTCTGAAAAGTGGACAGATATTGCGAATGACACTTATATAATGGAAAGGGTAACATTCTCTTAATTTACACTCAGGAAGGTTAAGCAAATACTGGTTAACCTGAATAAAATGTCCCATTACACAAGTCCACCCCTCTACCATCACATAATGTACTATGGTGTATAGTATGCATGGTTAAAAGACACAAGTACCCTTCCCTTATAAGATAAAGTATTAATGCATCGGCTTTAAGTTAATTTAAGTAACGCTGATCAGGTAAAAGCAGGAGTAAATCGCAAAACTTGCGGAAATCAGCTAAAATTAACAACGTGAATCCCTCCTCTGCCTCCAGCCCACACTTCTCTCTCTGCCTGTGTGATCAACACGCCCCGCTGTAATTAAAAGGGCACTAAAACGATCAGGAAGCCTGTAAAGTCATCTCCCCAGACTGCAGACACAGAACCTGGAACGTTCGTTACCATATAAAATCAAGACCCTGTTAAGAAAGGATGCTGGATAGTGGGAACTGGGGAAGACGGCAGAGAGATGCTCACACACTAGCGAGATTCATCTTGCTAGTCTACTGCGCCGCCCATTGTTTAGTTGAGCTTAACAGCCTTCAGCTCGGTTTCACCCCTCTCTGCTCTTCTTCGATAGCAGACCCCGTCGGCCAGAACGAATCAGCAGTTATCAAATTCACCATGTTAAATTTGCAAGACTTCAAGACCCTGCTCTAGTTCTGAAGTGTTACTGTAAATTAAACCGAAATGATGGCGGAGGAAAAAAACCCAAGAAACCCCGTATGCACATCTTACACGGAGAAGTTAAAAAGAAGAGCTCGTCAGACGTGGCTCCACCCTGGGCCGGGCCAGTCGTCCTCTCTGGCCGGGGCTCTCCGAGCGGTGCTCCCATGAGGGAACCCGTGAGTGTAGCTCCTTCAGCACTCATGGGGAGAACCGACGCACTGCCCACTGGCAATGCCGGCTGAGGGGGGCGCTATTGTGCCACAAGGGAGGATACCGTGGGCTGACCCCACCGACCTGGCAGCACTCCCAGGGAAGGGAGAGTCACAGAGACGGAGGGGAAGCAAAGCGAAAGAGAGACGACAAGTACCTATGAAGGCGTTGGGGATGGTGATCTTCAGCCACATCCTGTCTCGCACCTCCAGGCCGGACTCGGGAGAGGCCATCGCCTTGGCAACAGTGGCCATGTCGCTGTGGATGGACAGGTGGAAATCGTCGAAGCCTGCGGGACGGGGGACAGGGGTCAGACGGGCTCATGGGTACCGTGAGACTGGAGCACTGTCCCCCAGCACCGCACTGTGCTGCAGCTTCCAGTCAGTTGTACATCTTATAGGGATGTTCAGTAAGGGCTCCAACACAAAGAACACTGCCAGGATGGTCAGTAGCAAGTTGTAGCAAGCAGTTGTGGATGAGTAGAAACAATGTTATAATGTGAATGACTAACCACACTCAGCCCCAGTGCAGCATGAAGCTCTTCTTGATGAAGGATTCAACCCTTGTGGCCAAGCATGCAGAGTTGGGGGGGGGAGGGTTGTCAAACCTTCTACTGTTGTCTTGACTACAGGGATAACCGGACACCCTTTCTCAAAAGCAGCATCACTCAGATAAATATAGGACTTCCCAAGATGAATCAGGGCAACTTTAATCCTTAGCTGACATTTACTAGTGAAAGACATAAGACTTGGTGATCTCACATTTCCGCAACATTTTACGGTGGCCAAGCATGGTACAAAACGCCTTGGCCAGACAGCGCTGAGAAGAGGCAGGCCGACGTGCTGGACAGCACCCCAGCCAGACTGGCCAGGTCAGCTGGCCAACTGAAAAACTGCCCCAGAAATGAGGCATCAGCCACTAGAATGGCCGGGATCTGTGAAAACGACCAGAGATCACTTGTGGGGGCTGAGGGGCAGAGGTGTTTGAGACAAATCAGGAGGCCTGTTTTTGCACAGCATTGCAGGCAGCAGGAACAGACTGACCTGAAACCGTTGAAATCCGATTCATCCATCCATTATTCAAATGAACTCGGTGATTTTCTGTGATCAGTAACCTGGCTGTTATCAGGCCAGTGCGCTCAATGAGCTAGATGGGCAGACGGCCCCCTGTCCACAGAAACCCTTCTCATGCTGCGAAGGGGGATGGAGGGTATGAGGGGCACAGCAGGTCACGGTGACAGCAGGGCAACAGGAAGCAGCACAGAAACCCGGCACGGACAGGAGAGCGGGTCTACGTGTCAGCAGGCGCAATTAACAGAGTTGTCAAGTGTAGCTGGGCGAATGTGTGTTAATGTATCAGTGTCCGCAATTAATGGTGCGATCGAGTGTTTTAACAGGGAGAAGGAGTGTTAATGAATCACTACCTGCAATTAACGGAGTGTACAATTGTTACCAGGTGTGCTAAAGGGAAACTGCAGTCCAAGTTTCTCAGCGATATGTAATGCGATATGCGAGTGATTAAGTACAGGTTGTGCAGCAGACATTTCACCGCAGAAATGTTAACTCTGCATGCAGATCGCGCTGGAACAAGTAAGTTGTACTTGTCTCAAAATCGAGAGTGATATTTCTATTGGATTAGAAGAGACAGCTTCACAAGCCTGCTTGTTTACGATGTCACTGGGCCACATCATGTCACTGCAGGTTTAGTTGTCCCATTCTGAATTGCAGAACATGGCACTGCGCAGACCTGGAAATCATGCCTGTTTTGGGATATAAATTGGAGGTCTGTACAAGTTACTATACAGATTATACTTCTACTGTGGTTTGAAATGCATTCAATGCCGATTCCTTCTAACCCTGGAATAGAAAACCAGTGTTGCAGTTCCCTGCTCCTGAGTTAGTCAGCCAGTGGCGGAGTGTATGAAGGTGTGTTTTTGAATCAGGGTTGGCGGGTGAACGAGTGTGTTAACAAGTCTTACCAGGTCTGCTGGTAAGTGAACAAGAGGGTGTCGGAGTGGAAGTGTGAGGGGCGAGCGAGCCCCTCGATGGGGGACAGAAGCGCAGCGCTCTCTCGGCCGCGGGGAGCCAGGCAGCGCAGGGACGCCACGACACTTACGCTCGGTCTCTGGGATGGAGCTGGTGATGGAGGAGCTGGTGGAGGTGATGGTGCTCATGGAAGGGCTCATACCGTACACCGGGTAACCCCCCGTCATCGCCGCCGTGTGGGACACCCAGGCTGCGGGGTCTATGGGCCGGATCGGCTCGCCTGAGGAGAGGGTGAGGGAGACCCGTTGGAGGGACGCAGAGGCCGGTAGAGGCAGACAGAAGGTCAAGGGAGACGGATACTGATTTCACTGGGGCACACAGAGCCAGTGATCTGACATTTCTTGGGCTGGGGAAGGAGCAAGGTGCACTGCACACCCACCACACAAGCAGGTGCCTAAAGACCTCCACAGTCTACCTGCACAGATACAGAAGCTTGTGTCTTCCTGAAAACGCATGCAGATGCATGGCCAAACACAAACTGGCAGCCTTGGTCAGATTTTCTGACTACCCAAGCAGCACCACAATCACATCAACACAACACTATTACACGAGTAGTGAGCAAAAACGCGTCAGCTCAGCCACTCCCGACCTAGAAACCAAACGGGTCGATCTGTATTGCTCAGAAGATCCTGAGAGCACCAAGTATAGCAGCTCGGTCAGACTAGATCTCAGTTGATTAATATCACTAGATTCCAGACTAGATCCCTGTGGTGCAGGCAAGCAGTGCAGGAAGCACAGGAGGCAGCGGGGTACCTGTGTGGGGGGAGCAGTACACCACATAGCCGACCACTGTGGGGGGGGGGGAAAGATCGGTCAGCACTGCCCAGTCAGGGCCTCCCACAGTCCCCAACACACACACACTCATCACAATCATCCCAGCTCCAGCCACAATCACACACCACATGAGCGTGTGTTCACGTGTGGGCGTTGTGTGTGCCATACGTGTTAAAGGCGAGGGTGTCTTGCACTCACTCCTGGGCAGGGTGAAGCAGCCTCTTGGATTGGGGTCCCAGCACTTGGCCACAGTCAGAGTGATGGGTCTGTGAACAGACAGCACGGAAAGTGACAGAGGGCCAGAACCGAGGCCCGACACCTCCTTCACTCACACATAGACCGGGCCCATTCGAACCGTCACTCGCCACAGAACAAACCACAGAATAATCAAGACTCCTGGCTGTGCCAGCCTCACCCCGAGTGTGCATGTCTGGGTGTGGGTGTCAGTGTGGTGATCTCACCCTGGTTTGTGCACGATCTCCCGCAGCACTCTCACTGCATCATCGTTACTCATGTTCTCGAAGTTGATATCGTTCACCTGGAGGGCACAAAGATAAATACATATATCATCACCAAATGACCTTCACTCGACTCTCAGCTCCCCCGCCTGACCTGTCTCTCGCACGCATCCAGTCTCACTTGCATTTAGGCCACACCCACTCCCTCAAAGCCCCTCCTCTACCCTTACAGTACAGTCGTAGAAACCCCACCCCTCCATTTAAGACACACCCACCTTGGAGCCCCACCCACACTCTCTCACCCGCCATGGAGTCCTGCCCACACTCCAGCTCTATATCCCAGCCCCTGGCCCTCACCTGCAACAGCATGTCTCCTGGCTCTATCCTCCCATCCGCCGCCACAGCGCCCCCCTTCATGATGGAGCCGATGTAGATGCCCCCATCTCCACGCTCGTTACTCTGGCCCACAATGCTGATGCCCAGGAAATTGTATTTCTCTGCAGACAGAGAGAGAGCTCAGACAGGTCCGCCTGGTAAGCAAAATACGAAATACCAACCAGCAGACGGATGTGTGTAATGTACTCACCCATGTTTAAAGTGACAGTGATGATGTTGAGAGACATGGTGGAGTCCGTGATACTGCTGAACGAGGAGGACTGGAGGGGGGGAGAGAGAGGGCGAGAGGAAATCAAATTTCATTTTTGAGTTTCTCACCCAGAATGTGTCTGAATATCTGACCACCTGACAACAGACACACCCTCCATCACAGCATCTGAACACATGTCTGAGAGTCTGTCCAAATGTCTGAGTCTCTGTTCGTCAGTTCATCAAAGCATTTTCCCCCAAGTCCTTGCCCATGTATCCGGCTTTCCTACCCTCTCCATGCGTGGTGCCTTGGGTTTCCGGCGCCGGCGGCGGTGTCGTCTCATGAGCCGTGAGGAGCTACTCTGCTCTGTGGAGCTGCTGAACCTGGGGAGGCAGTCAAAGGTGACATCAATGGCGTGACGTCACTCAACGCTATGACATCACTAATTGTGCAAATGAGAACTCAGCATGTGAGCGTTTTAGGTTAATCAGGAGGGAACTACACCAAAAATTGAATTACAGTAAATTAGCAGCGAACTGCTATAAGACTTCGCACCACAGTAACAATGCAGCCAGGGGGACAATTGAAAAGCCACAGGAATCCAAAGTAATGCAGATGCATGGATGGAGAGCTGGTCAACAAACAGGAAACAGCACAGCACCACGAGGGGTACCGCAAGGCTCCCCTTTGGTCCCTTTGTCCTCAAACCAATCCCAGTTGCGAGAATATTCTTCACAACCAGCATTGCACAGAATGCACGCGTACAGGTTTAAATCTACTCAAAGAAAAGGAATGATCCGCCTGTGAACCAGCTTCGGGACCCTTGTGCCGCCGGCGCAGGAGAGAGGAAGACGCTGCACCTGACTCCGGGAGACACGCGCTCAAGCGATCTCCTCCAGCTCCTACCGCCAGCCGCAGAGCGAGGGCACACTCGAGCTCTCCCCGATAACACCGACCGTCACAGCAAACCCACTCGCCTACAGCAAGAATAACTGACCCACGCCCCCGGGGAACCCCACTCCCTGGCCAGCAGCGATGGAAGGCCCTGCACTCCCAGCCCTGGGCTGTGTCACCAGGGCAGAGCAGCAGGGGGCACCGGGCGCGCGGACGCCTTACCGGCTGGCC